TAGCAGTTCCATAACGATTTGTGCATATTTCTCCCTGTCTCCAACCAAGACTTGGTGGCGTCTTATTGAGATGCCCTAGTCCAGGATCTGATATATTCTTAGGTATAAGAACTAACCTGAGACACTCACTACCCTGAGATCAGAAAGGCAGAATGAATTACTGAACCACACCAAAAACAGAGAAAATCTAAGGGATACAACTGAGAGTGTTACAAACCATACTCCCCTCCTTACCTGAAACATCTTCTTTCAGGTTCTTGCTATTGTTGTTCACTTGCCAAGTCGTGTCCAACTCTTTGCAACCCCATGCACTGCAGCACACCAGACTTTCCTATCCCTCACCATATCCCAGAGTTCACCCAAGTTCATGTCCATTGAATTGATGATGCCATCCAACCATCTCATCCTCTGTCACCGTCTTCTGCCTTCAATCTTTTACAGCATCAGGGTCTTTTCCAATGAGTTGGCTCTTTGCATCAGGAACATATCTCCTTCAGGCTCTAGTTGGATATTTTTTAAGAAAGGTAATACTTAGTTCTAGAAATGTGGCACAAATTATTTATCTGAGGGTCTCCAAAATGGAAGTTAACCATGACTTCTGGTGCTGAGAAAGTGTAAAATCTGGTGGTCCAAAGATAAAGAAAAATCCCCTCCCTCTCTGTATTCCTCTGAGATGACAGGTGTTCAGTGGCTCAAACTGCGTCTTGAGAAAGCAGAGCCCAGAAATGAGATCAGGTTCACCATGGGTCCTAAGAGCCCCAGGAACAGCCCGCAGAGCTGAAGACCAGACAAGACCGGATAACCAGGACAGCGGCCCCAGAATGAACTCTGTGGGCAGGCAGCAAAAATCACAGAAATGCGAGCCAGGTGGCTTGCTGTCCTCCTAGGACAGGGTTTCACATTCCTGGAAGCACATTAGGATCACCTGGGGAGACTTTAAATATCTTAATGCCCAGGTGGCACCCTAGAAAAATCTAATCATAAACTTTGGGGAGGCTACCCAAGCATTAAGAGTTTCTAAAGCACTCCCACAGCCCCAAGAACTACTGAATATTCAAGGCAAAGATTCTCTACTGCACCATCACAGTATACTGGGTTTGTGGGTATTGTTATTAGTGAATTCTTAATAATAAAGTCAAAGTACTGACATTTCCCAATGATTTACATTTTTTTTTGTTAAATTAGAAAAGTTTCAAGATTATCCTTGTAACAGTACCACACTCACATGAAACCACTTGCATTCTGATGGGTTCATTCATTCAACAAATAACTATTAATGCCTATGATATGCGTGCCAAGCACTGTGCTAGACGCTAAAGACACAGCAGTCAATACAATAGCCATGGTACCCTCCCTTGTGGAGTTTATCATCTATCAGAGAACAGAGATATTTAAACAAAATATTACATTATAAGAATATATCTGACTTTGTTTACCCATTCTTTTATTGATGAACACCTGGAATCTTTGTGAGTTTTGGCTATTATTATGTGGGTAGTTTCCAATTAGGGGCAATTTCGAACAGAGTTGTTCTATTCATCTTTACTTGTTTTGATTAAATAGTCATTTGTGTCAGGTATTTTCCTAAGTGAGGAAACTATTGGGTCAGAGAATATGTTGAACTTTAGATAACACTGCCAAGAATTTATTGAAAATGTTTGTATAAACTTAAATCACTTCAGTAGTGTATGGTGGTTCTTCATCCTGCATGTCCTTACAAACACATGGTTCCCATCTTTATCATTTAAGCCTTTCTGGCAGGTATCACATGGTTTTACTCTAAGTTCTATAATTCATTAATTCTCTTCTTATTTTTGTGAAATCCGTAGGAATGAACGGAGAAGGAAATGGCAACCCACTCCAGTATTCTTGCCTAGAGAATTGTGTGGACAGAGGAGCCTGGTGGGCTGCTGTTCATGGGGTCACACAGAGTTGGACATGCTGAAGCGACTTAGCATGCATGCATGCATTGGAGAAGGAAATGGCAACCCACTCCAGTATTCTTGCCTGGAGAATCCCAGGGATGGGGGAGCCTGGTGAGCTGCTGTCTATGGGGTCGCACAGGGTCGGACACGACAAGCAACGCAGCAGCAGCAGCAGCAGTAGTAGGAATGAATTCAGGTGAAGAGCCAGAGGCCATGTCTAATACTGGGGTTTCTCCAAAGAAAACAGAACCAGTGAGAGATATATTGAGGGAGAAACTGATTTACTCTAGGGAATTGGCTCCTGTGATCATAAAGGCCTTGTAGTCCTACAACCAGTAGTCAGCTAGCCAGGGGAGCTAATGTGTGTTTTCAGTCTAAAAGCTTGCAGCCTTGAAACCCAAGAAGAACTAAGGCTTCTGTTCAAATCTAAAGGCTTGAAAGAAACCAATGCCCCAGTTCAAAGCAGTCTGGTGGGAGGAGTTCCCTCTTGTTCAAGGCAGGATCAGCATTGTTGTTCTATTCAGGTTTTCAATAGATTTAATGAAAGCCACCAACATCAGGTAGGGCATCTGCTTTACTCAGTCTAATGATTCAAAAAGTTAATGTTATCCCCAAACATCCTCACAGACACACTGAGAATGTTTCACCAAATATCTGGGCACCAACCTCTCTGTTGACATATAAAATTAACCATCACACCATGCTAATTTACCATCTTATCTGCAACCATTCCTTTCAAATGTTGTGTAATATTCTACTGTAAAATACATACATATGTATGTATATGTCTATTATATATATGCACACACATATATTGTCGTGGTGGTGGTGGTTTAGTCACTAAGTTGTGCCCAACTCTTGCAACCCCATGGATTGCACTCTGCCAGGCTCCTCTGTCCATGGAATTTCTCATGCAAGAATATTGGAGTAGTTTGCCATTTCCTTCTTCAGGGAATCTTCTCAACCCAGGGGTTGAACCTGCGTGTTGAACCCATGTCTCCTGCATTGCAGGTGGATTCTTTACTGCTAAGCCATCAGGGAAGTTCATATGTAGTTATAATTCATATAAACTTTAAAATATATTATTTTGTTTAGCTTCACATCTGTATATTTCATCTATAATTTTACATTTGCCATAGATTACTCATTCTTATTGATATAAAGTATTTCATTATATGATTACATAGAAATTTATTTATCCAGTCTACTGTTGATAGGCATGTGGGTAATTTCTGGTTTGGAGCTTCTCATGGATTTTGTCACCATAAATATTTAGGTTACTTCTAATTTGTTTCTAAGGAATATTGCGCAGGCATCTCTTGCATGTTTCCTTGTACACATACATAAACATTCTCTCGGGTAACCACAGGTCAAAAACTAATCCAGCTGGACCATGAGTGGAGAGAAAATAGCACAAACAGACATTTTCTCTCCACCTGTTCATGGCATCTACCATTTTCTCTCTATCCTCACCACACCATGACTTAACTGGCTTCTGTTCTTTCCTAGAAGTTTCTCACAGATATTGCTTTATAAATTCTTATTGAAGTAAAACAGACCTATGAAAAGATGCAAGCATTTTATATGTGTAGTGTAGTGGATTTCCCTAAATTAAATACATGCAAGTATCCCAGATAAAGAGATGGAAAATTACAGACTGCATAATCTTAGCTGTACTGGATACTGCCAAATTGATCTTCAAAGTGAGCATGTCTTCAAGGTGAGCTAGTTCTCATACCATTTCTTCTCATCTTTCTCAATATTTGCGGTAGCCAGACCCTAGTTTTGCTATGCCAACAAATAAAAATTCTGCCTTGTTTTAAGTTGCTTTTGTTTCACCAATGGTTGAGCACTTTGTTCATGTTTATGTGCCAGTTAGAACACTCTTTGCTCATTTTACTGTTTGGTTGTCATCTTATTTTGACTTTTTCCCGAAGAGTCCACAGCTGACCCTGAGGTTTCCTTCATGGCTCAGCTGGTATTTTCTGACAGCTCCCTTCTATTTGCTGCCTCTTCAGCATAGACAATATCTTCTCATCTCTAGCATACTGCACTGCTCTTAGGCTGGATGGATTATGCTACAACTTTCCCAGGAAATATCATGGGGGCTATAGTCTTTTATGGCATTACTACCTCTTATACTAGGTGTCGTTAACAAGTGGCCGTGCAAGTTTGGCTCACAGAGCATCTTCAGTGTAAGTTATCAGGTATCACGCCTGGTTGCAATACAAGCAGCTTGGTACTTTTGTTTTTTACCTGGGCTGCTCTCCTTACTCCTTTAGCTTCACATCGCAATAGGCTCCTGAGATTTGATGCAAATTATAGTATGTTACAGTAAAAGCACCACTGTCTAGGAATTTCTGAGGATCTGAGTTATCATCTCATTTCCATCACCAGCTGTGGGATCTTGGGCAAGTCGTTTCACCACTGAGCTGCAGCCTCTTCTAGTGTAAAATGAGAATATAAAGATACATCCCCTGCCTACCTCTCAGAGTTGTTTTGGACATCAAATAAAAGAACATCAAGGTGATAAGAGTATCTTCCAGACACCAGTCCCAGTCACATCATGAGAGATGGTGGTTGACTGACAAGCACAGACCCCAGGCTTTTCTGAAGCACTGCCCTCTGAAAACCTAGAGTAGAATCAGGGGTGTGCGACACAAACATGCTCTTTGCTCACATTTACTGAAATAACATGCAGGCTACTAAGTAAATGCTTGAGTGAGGATCGTAAGTCAGAAGGTACCCTCAGTTAAAAAAAAAAAGTGCATCATTATGATTTGATTTCAGAAAGGCAAATGTGAGCTGAATTAATCGAGTGGCTGTGGAATCCAAATTCCTGTCTTGTTGAAGCTGGAGCAGATGTGGGGGGCAGGGGGGTCTGTTCCAGAAGTGAGGAAAAGTGCAACTGAGCAGGAAGGACTGCCTGGGGAGCCATGTGGATTGCTGTGAGGGGCTCCTGCCAGCTCTTCGGAGCAAGCACCCCCCAACCTGCCCCCCCCCCAACCCCGGGGCAGGGACATGGGCTGTTGAGGCTGCGCCGGCTACTGGTTCATAACTGCCGAAGAGCAAGCAGCACGTGGCTTGAGCAGGCAGGCAGAGCTCTTCAGTGAGGTGGGTTCCGGGAGGGCTCTGAGCCTGTGCTCAGCGGAGCTCCAGAAGAAGCTCAGGGGGGCAGAGGAGGGCACAGCCACGGCTGCTGCCTGGCTCTCAAGAAGAGGGCTGGACTCTCCGTCGGCTGCAGGCTCAAGGACGGCGGGACTCCACTCCACCTAAGCCATGTCGGCCAACCTCACAGAGGGCAGCGCCAAGTCCAATGGGACTGGGCAGGCACTGAATTCTCCTGTCCTTTGTACTGAAACAGCGACTTTCACTGCAGAGGTGGAAGGAGAGGAATGGGGCTCCTTCTACTACTCCTTCAAGGTAAGTGTCCTGCCTTCCACTCTGAACACTGATTTTAAATAATAAGACAAAGTAGAATTTTAAGTTAAAAGATCACAGCCAATATTATGGAGTGTAGCTTATTTTCTTTACTAAAAAGAGTTTTAAAATAAACCTGATGAGCTATAAAAGTAAGTTTTTCATACTGTGCTAGGATCTATATTGTCATTTCTTAAGAATATTTGTTTGTTTTTTTCCTGCTGCTGCTACAAATGTAAGAGTCATGAGTAACAATTGTAAGTGGATGACTTTTTAATTTTCCCCCTTTCCTTAGGTGAAAGTACTTTTAGTTAATCCTATAGCAGTGCTTGAAACGTCTGTTCCTCATAAGGGTTATTGTTGTGAGTTTTTTGTTGGGAGCATCAGAGGTTTGTAAAGCCCGCATCATCCAGGATAGTACCTGTTGCAATGAGAGACTAAGCGCTGAGTAAGGAAAGAAGCACCACACTTTCTGTGTTGATACTTTGCAGTGAACATCAGAGAGAAATAAGGTCTTTAACTGTAGTTGGTGATGTTACTGTTCACAACAAGTTCCCTCCTAAAAGAAATGAGGAAGTCAGAGTTTAGTAAGTTTCACTTTTAAAGTATCCAAGGGCCACATTGAGGAAGAGGCCATTGTTAGGCTAATACTGTTTCCTCTTCCACAACAAGATTGTGGTCAAGAATAAACCGGGCATCCAGAAAATAGTTTTCTGCTTCTTGCATGGGAATGCAGTGATGTCAGGTTATTTCACAGGTTGCCTGATGGTGCATTCAGCTGTTACACTAATTCCCAAGACTCGAACTGGTCTTTCATACTTCAAGGAAAATTCTAGCAGTTTTTTTTTTTTTTAATCCTCTGGGTGTTCTTGAAATGATTTGGTTTTTACTGACAAGGTAGAATTTGCTGTAATATTCACCTTGGAGCTTTGCTTCTTTGCCAACACTCAGAATAAAACTTTTAGCAGGGAGCTGCCCTGGAAGCCAGCCTCACTGGTGTTTGAGAGCCCTAGAGAAAATGTAGCAAAGCAGAGTGGAACAAGTCACTTAGGCGGATTGCACGGGACCCATCCCTAGGTACCACTTCTTAATGCATGCATGCACACACAGAGCCCAGCTGCCCAGCTCTACAACAGAAAATAGAAATTGAAATTGGAGTGGGGTGCCATTTACCATTGGCTGAATAATCCCCTCTCTGAAATCAGCCTTCAGATCCAGAGATTCTGTCTTGGAGAGGCAGGCTTTCTGCACCCAGGAAGCATACTGCTCCTCTCAGAGATGCTGCCTCTGCAGCCTCTTTGATATTTATAGAACATGACAGCAAACAGAATGAAGAGAGACTGGCCACTGCAGAAAGGATAATAATCAGCAATAAGACAGTTGTTCTGAGAGTCAGGCAATAATCAGCTGAAATCTCATTTTTTTTTTTAATACAGCTCCAAAGGGGAAGTTTTGAGTGTTTGAACAAACGAACCCCTACTCACTCTCTTCTAGTGTTTGAACTCTGTCCTAGCAACATCATCTCTAGGCACTACAGAAAATCACATCATTTTCATCTCATTTCTATTAATAAGTTTGCCCTCCAGCAATTGGACCACGAGACAAGGAGAGAAACAGAAAGAAAGAAAATATGTCTGATCAGGAACTTAGAATGTTCTGTTTCATTGTTTGAAAAATATAATCATTCATTAAAGCAGTGATTTTCAGTTGCACAATAGTCAGTAGTAGTGTTGGTGAGAACTAGCTTAAGTGTCTTAAACTGGTGTGTAACTTTTTCCACCATCCTCTTTGAGCACAAGCAGTTTTGATGCAAACTCTTGTTCCTTGTGATCCTTTTATCCCACATGTGTCTCAAGAAGAAAGTCAGAACTGTGTTTGTGAATTGTCTCCCAACCGTGTCCTTTTAATCTCCATCGCCTTTTCCAAAAGTGGTAGAAATGTTATCAAAAACAAAGTGGTAACATCACTAAAAATAGAAGAACTAATAGCAGAAGCAAAAGTCTGACATTTCACTGGCTGTGGTCTTTCTTAGTGACATGAATTTTTCTGAATGACTTTTGTGAAGTGTCTCATTTAATCCTCAACCCACGGTGTATCTTTCATTTTGAATTGCCTTTCATCTTCATCGATCTAAATTCAACCCAGTCTTTAAGGCTCCTCTTGGGTTACTTCCTCCCTGAAGACCCCCAGACCCACCCCTCCTCCGACTTCTCTGGAGTATACCCCCTCTCTTTGCCGCTTAATCCAATTCTGTGCTCATGCTATTTCAATAAAGTGTCGGGGCAATGTGCACCAGTCATTAAGCTCCTCAAGTGAAAGTAATGCCTAATGTTCATTTCATGTTTTCTCCAAAAACCAGCACCGTGCATGTCCTACTCAATAAACATTTACTGCATAAATGAACTGTGGCTCTGTGTTCTGTTTCTGTCTGCCATCTACATGTTGCCAGGCTGGGCAACAGAAAGTTTGCTTTCTCAGTGACAGAGGTGGGGGTCTTATTCACTATTCCACAGGTCAGCCACTGCCCTGCCAGGTCTTTATCAAATGTATTCACTGAGGTCCTTCCCTGTAGGCACATTTAGCACATCCTTATTCCATCTCTCAGAGAAGGTAATGGCACCCCACTCCAGTACTCTTGCCTGGAAAATCCCATGGATGGAGGAGTCTGGTAGGCTGCAGTCCACGGGGTCACGAAAAGTCGGACACCACTGAGCGACTTCACTTTCACTTTTCACTTTCATGAATTGGAGAAGGAAATGGCAACCCACTCCAGTGTTCTTGCTTGGAGAATCCCAGGGATGGCGGAGACTGGTGGGCAGCCGTCTGTGGGGTCGCACAGAGTCGGACACAACGGAAGCAACTTAGCAGCAGCAGCAGCAGTATTCCATTTCTAAGTCAATGTGCTGAAGGTAAGTAATAGTTTCCAGTGGGTGGGATATAAAAGTAAATGGGTCATCATACACTGTAGCTCCTACTGGTTTAGCCCTAGCGAACCCACACCCACCTGTTGCTGTCTGCCCTAGTCTTAGCTGCTTCACTCAGTCTACATGCCTGGGCTTCTAACCTACTTACTTATGTAGCCCTCAAGTTCTCCTCCAAACCTCCTTCTTGGCAGAAGATAAGACACCCGTGTCTAAATCTTACCAGCCCTTTCTTCACAAGCTTGGAGGCTTTTCTTTCTTCCCATCTCTATCTCCAAATTCTTGCCCCTGCTCCCCACTGCTCTAACCCACTCTGCCATCCTCTTGGATATAAGCAGGAAGGGCAGAGGTGAGTTCACCACTTTCTTCTTCCACCATGGGTTTCACATGACTAAGGCTCTGTGGTCCTGGGTTCAAGGTTCTCAGCTCAGGCCCTGGTTTCTTTCACAGTTTTCAATGTCTCATATGTTCAAGGTTCCATCTAGTTCACCTCATCCATTCCTAGTCCCCAGCATCAAGCATTTCTATGGACTTCAAGAATCTTCAAGGAGGATGGGACCTGGCTCATAAGAAAGTGAATGGAGGACCTGAATATAAGACTGTTCAAGTGGAAGACGAAGATGAAACTCTTAATAGACTTAATTTTGCTGGTGAATTTACTTGCAAAATTTCCTGAATCCCTGATTCCTGATGATGAGAAAATTAATTCAAAGTACTGGGAGGGAAACATACTTGAATTAGTAAATGCTGAAATTATAAAAGAATGCAAAAGATCTCAGTTTTCTTACTCTCAGGTGAGGGGAGAAACATGAACCAAGACTGCAAAAATATTACTTGACAATGATCTTTTTTTGAATCTCCTTTAGTGGGTCATTACAAATGATATGCAATTAGTCTAACTATTGTTTATATGTAAATGGTTGCTTCTAAGTGCTCGAGGGTGATTGGACACAGTTTGTTCCCTTTGTTTTGCTCCCTCTGCCTGCTGTCTCTTAATTTTCTTAACACATTTCTCCTCCATTAATATAACAAAAGCAAATTCCAGCTCAACCCATGTCTCAATTATCTCACACTAGGCTTAAAGAAACATTTAATGATGTAAAGAATCTGAAGTATACCGTTCTCATTTTTATTATATATTTAGGTTAACAATTGCTTTGCAAGAACACACTCTACCTACTGTGGACCAGCACTTTCAGTGACTGCCACTTCAGCTCTCTCTGTGCCCACTTGCCTGCTTCTCTGCACACTCCTTTAGTCCCACCTCGGCCCTGCAGGACTTGATATCTCCTTTCCTGCCTTGGGCCTCAGAACAATGTCAGGGATGCCCTTCCTGGAGTCTAGGAACCCTTGGGTCCTGTCCTTTCAAGGTACTTCCTGAAACTTAGAACAATGGTTCTTGCATTTAATCATGCATCGTTTTGTCCTCTTCTAATCAGTTTCACTCAGTCTGTTCATACAGAGTTTCTAGAGCTGAATACTGTGACAGTTCATAGGGAATTACTACTAGTTTTTAAATAATTATTAAAGGTCTGCTATCACTGCCTATTCCTGTTAGGCACACCTAGCACGCTACTCTCCAATCCCCTGTCCTGGACCAGCGCTACCACATCCAGCTTCACCCCATGCCCCTGAGAAAGGCACACATTTCATTGGTTGGCTTTACAAGACTGTCAGTGCAATTCCCCAAGCTATGTACTCTTGTGTGTGAAAAAGGAAAACTCCCTCAACCAACTTTCTCTTTGTATCACTGATCTCTTTGTATCACATTGTCAGGCCAGTGTATGCGCCTCAGTTCTGTCTCGTCACAACAAAGATTGGGAGTGACGGACATTAAAGCCCTCGGCGTGTCACAGCTCTCAAGTCTCGAACAGACCATGTTACAGCTCTTAGACAAATTAGTGTTACAGCTCTATTTTATTTAGAAAATGGCAGGAGAATCCATCCTCCAGGCGTGAGGGCATGTCGACCCAAGGACCTGAAGAGAAGAGCACCCCAGCGCATGGGAGAGAGAAAGAGGGAGAGGGAGAGAGAAGGGGAGAGAGAGAGAGAGAGAGAGAGAGAGCACTTTGACTCCTCCTT